AAGGTGTTCATGTTTAACCAGTCACACGTTCAAACACCTGTATTGTGATATAATTTTTTTAAAAAGCTTGCACAATAAATTCTCTTTACCAGTTTCACATACAATTTTACTAGATAACACTTTCAAACACAGAACATTTGAGAAAAACTAGTCATCATTTGTCAGTTGAAAGACTTTCTGCAGTATTGTTCTGATTTTCTTAAGAAGAGAAGAAGACTTCTGTAAGCTTGATTCATGCTGGACTTGCCGATTTGACTCATTAGCACCTCTAGTGTTTGGACATGGAACTGCATCTGCTGTCATTGCTCTTGGGCAAAGGACAAATGAGTGACTGGACAGGGGCACTTCAGGGGGCCAATCAGATTTCAGCTGGGGCCAATGCCCCTGTGGCCTCACCCCTAGAACCGCCCCAGGGTCAACAAAACATGGGCATAGTAACAATATTTTTCATACTACATTTATCCATTTTAAATATACTAATCTCACACCTTTGTAACAACTAAGGCAAAAATGTAATTAATTCAGAAAATCTTTTCAGGACCCCACCTTGATGTTTCGGGACCCCACTTTGGGTCCCGACCCCCATCTTTGGGAAACACTGGTCTACACCATCTGACTTTCCTTTTTTGCCTCATTTTTATGTTTCATCTTCTCAAAGCCCTGGAGGTGTCTGTAGCCAGTTAGAGCCCCTTTCATGGCCCCTCACACCTGGCTCGTAGGGGGGCCTCCAGACCCGGCTTTAGCTCTTGTAGACCTGCACTTTTTTGGCTCAGGGGAAGGCTTGTGCACCTTTATYGCTCCATCTGAGGGAAAGGTGTGAGGTCACTGTTTCAGAGGTGCCTATGCCATCTGGTTTTGCAAAAACTTAACAGTTCTACAAACACAGAAACCAAATGGGCATCCTGGGATTTTTCACTTTGTAGTTGTAATATAAAAAAACTCTGCTCATTTTTGTAAAACGTATTTTCTTTCTATAATTTTACAGCTATTCTCACATATTAGTGTAAAGTAAACAATTTCTATCATTATGTGGTTCTGTCATTTCAGAAAACACCTGATAATGACAGCCTGTTGCWTCACCTTCTGTGTACTCATTACACAGAGAAGGCTAGTAGAGCCATCTTGAGCATCAGCTAACAGCAACATGAAATGTACAAACAGCAACAACAAGTATCAAAGAGATAAATGAATCAGCTAAAGTAACATTAAAGATGCAACACCAGCATTATTCACAGAATTGACCCAATAATTCACAAAAAAAGAAAGGAAATTGAAGACAAACAAAACACAATCTATTCAAATCATATAATTGCATCTCTGTTGAATTTCTTCAGGAAAGAATATTACAGTTTGTCCGTGACAGTGGAATTCAGTTTTAGGAAAGACATGAGCTCACACGGTTGTACAACAGAGGAGGTTCCTTTTCAGTCATTTCACTCAGTACAACACACAGTTGTATATGGGACACCTGGCTGAAGCCACCTCTAATCACGTCTTTAGACCGGTGA